GAGAGCTCTGGGACGAAGCAGATGCAAATTCCCCAAAACTTGTGCTTTCCCAAAACATGAACTGCTCAGCAAAAGCCTTTGCCGGAATAGCCATTCCCTGACGGCCCTGCTATCAGCTGCCCCTCTGACCACTTCACTTCTCTGTTGAGCTGGAGCAGCACCACAGGGATGTGGGAGATGCAAGAAGTACAAATCCACAAATGAAGTAATGGGACTAATGCACAAGATGGAGCTGGCGAGATGAAAGGACGTAATTCACCACTAAGTCTGGAGCTAGGCAAGCTGAGTTGCTTTTAGGTGATTGCTCCTTAGGGAAGGGCTTAGGAATTACACCCAGAAAACAGAAATTGAAAGCTGATAGAGCTGTGTGGACCACATTTCTAAAGGGAGCACATGCCTGATTAATAAAACAACATGCAATGTGAAGTGACTGCTCTGTGGCAGCCATTGGCTTTGTCCAGCACACAGCTCATGGGCCTCAGCACAGCATTTGGGGCACTTTGGGATAGGATATGATATGCAGATCTCTTAGAGCTTTCTCACAATTTCTGAGGAATTTGTCCACATCTTTGATCACTACACCTATATCCGAGAACAATTTGATCTTATGTAAGGCCAGAGTGGTCCAACAGAAGGCAAAATCTACAACATTTATGTATGCTGGTAGCAGAAACATAGCTGCACATGTATTAGGTACAGCCATCACAAGCACCGATTTGCTTATCTCCACTCACATGGAACATGCTGGTTTAGTTCATCTTTACCAAGCTATACAGAAGACAGCCAAGGAGGCAGAAAAGGTACAGAAATTAGACCCCAAACCAATACATTCCCACTGTGCAATAGAGCAGGCTGAGGCTGCAGGCTGGCTTGCTACTGCATCCCAGCACATTCAATGTTTCTATGCAGAACAAAACCAAATCTAACACAAGTTAGATTCCATAGTTTTTGGTCTGCGGTGTAGGGGGAGGGTGGTCTGGCAGCAAGAACATCCAAACAGTCCCCTCACCTTCCCTCCAGCCTCCCTGCAGATCCAGGCCTGTGTGGGTCAGAGCTGGGTGACCGAGGCCTCGTGCTTCTGCCCCTGGGATGGAGAGGGTCACAGCAGCAGCTCTAGGCTGTGTTTGCTAGGCAAGAGCAATTACAGCTAGTGTGTGCCTGGCACACACGCTCCCATCCCCTCCCCTTGTGTGCAGGAAGGATCGCAGGGCCAGGGCTGGGAACGTCTCGTCCTGCCAGCGCATGAACCATCCTCCCCCGGTCTCCAAGAGGCACAAAGTGACCTCAAGCAGACGGGCTTTGTATCGAGTTCCTGCAGACATCACTGCCTTTATTTACAGCAGAAAATACAGGATGTTACAGATGAGTGGAAAAATGCTGGCTGCCCCGCTGCCTGCAGAGCCCCTCAGACTGGAGAACGCTTTTCTTGGAAGTCGGAGGGTCTCCAGACAGGATTAGGAAAGCACACAGTGTGTGCTTTAGCTTTTTCCTTCTCTTTTTGGCCCCACTTGGCTTCAGCTACGCTTCCCTGCATCCCCCATGGGTACCTCCATGCCTTCCCCCAAACAGGGCTTCCCACAGCCCCTTGTGCTTCACCCTGGGGGATGCTGCCAGCCTCCTTTTGTCAGTGCCATCCCTTTGAGAAGCTGGAAGGTCACCAGCCAGCAGCCTGGCTCCAGCGCCCTGCTGCCAGCGCTGGCAGTGGATGGGCCAGGTCCCAACAACCCAGGGCAGCCCTGCAGTGCTGGGCAGGGGCTGAACCCCCCCACTCATGCTCATCTTCAAGCTTCATTCACCAAACAGCTTGCTGTTTTACAGTGCCCACCAGCACTCACAAGATGCCAGGCTTTCCCAATAACTGCCAGATAATCCAGACCTATCTCAAGCACGGGTTTCAGAAAACCAGCATGTGATTTTTTTTTAACACTCCAGTGTCCACAGGGACCTTTCCTGATATTGCTTACATTGATGTGGCAGGAAAGCTAAAAAGGGGCAGGAGATCTCATGCTCTCATACTAGGGCATGAGCTACTTCTGTTCTGCGCAGCCAAATTGGCTTTAATGGAGCTACACTTAATTTATATCCCCTGAAAAACCTGGCCCAAAGTGCCTTTTAATTGATCTCAATTAGAAACTGTTGATTGGCTGCCCGTAGCATTGGTGACCACAATGACAAGAGCTGGAGGAAAGAGAGACAGATACTATTTTGAAACTACAATTCCATTTTTTGAGCTTGGTAAAATAGCAAGGCAGCGTATCAAATGACATAATATTACTCATATGCTTAAGCACCTGGGTCCTTGATCTTGTGCTTTATAAAGTGCTCTGAGCTGTGCTGTAATTGCCTATAAATACGCTGCTGATCATGCTTAAAGGGACATTGGCAAGGTTAGCAGTCCTACAGTTCGACTTGGTAAAATGACATCCAAAAATAGTTTCATTTTCGGTCTTCCTAAATTACTGGCCTGCATTTTTTTCATGTTTCTTTTCACCAGTCCAGCTCCTTAGGTTAATAAGTTCCCATCTTGAGCAGTGAAGTAAAAGCACTTGGCTGTGAAACCTTTCCCCTGGTGTGAATGGGGATGACCTCTGTTGCTCTTACGGCTTGCAGTAAGGTCACCTCATGTTGAAGCAAACTGTTGCGAAAGACACCTTCAAACAGAGAACAGAGGTACAGGGAACAGGCCTGGGCAAGCCTGGAGCTGCGCAAGGTGCCCATTTTCTAGCCTCTGTCAGTCATTAGTCTTGTCCTAGATGTGCAGAAGGGGAGAGGATACAAAAACTTGCCAAAAGAATGGAACTGTGGAGTTAGAAGGATGAAGCTGTAGCTTCATCACCTCCTCAGCAGTGCAGCTGGGACATGGGGAGGTGCAGTGGGAAGGTCCCAGGGATCAGTGCCCTGTCCCCAGATGTCACCTCTGCCGGTGGCTCTGTGGTAGGAGCACAGTGGGGCAGGAGCTGCATTGGCTGCTGAGTGGTGTTTTGAGCTTAGGCACAAGTGTGGGGTTGGATTTCTTGTCAGGACAGAGTATAAATAGATAACAAATGAAAGATGACTTGGTATTTCCATTTTATGAAGGGCCTGATTTGTTTCAGGGTAAAATAACTCCGCTTCCTCCATGCAGCAGGCCTCCTGCACGCTGTGTACTTATGGTGGAAACCTGTGATTTCCTGATAGCCAAACTCATAGCTGCAATCATGTGAGACAGAACAGCTCACTGGCACAGGACACAGTGCCCAGTGTAGGGGTCCACTGAGGGGAGATGGAGGGAGAAACTGTAAGCAAAGGTCATATTCCTAGAGCCTGCATGGCAGGGCATTTTCGGAAAGATGTGCTCAGCTTCTCTATTGCATCGTCCATGAATCTGCCCTGAAATTTCGAAGAGAAGGCTGTTGAGATTCCCTGCAGCCAGGCTTTGCATTCCTTTCTGCTGGGGAGGTGGGAGATTTACCGAGGCCTGGATGTGAGGCAGTGTGTTTGCTGTGCCTGTCTGTCACAGGTGCGTGTTAGTCACAGCACAGGCATTGCCTGAACCCTGGCGACCTGGGGGAAACTCTGGATGCATGTAAAAGAAAACAGAAATAACTGAAAACCAAGCAGAGAAGGAAGGTCTCCAGAGCCTGTGACACTGCAGGTACACTGCAGCAGTGGGGCCTGAAACATGGCTGAGTAGCTACTGCGGCCAGTGGCACCCTTGAGTGTGGCAGCTCCTATTCTTCCTGACTTGTCCTTCAGTCACAGGAAAGAAAAGAAAGAGAGAAAAGACAAATGTTTATAGCTAACAATCAGAGCAGACAAAAGCATGTCTAGTGTCAGCATTTCAGTGGGTTGGAAGGCGCACCCCACGCACCCTGTGCCCAGCCAAAGGAACGGGGCAGCACAGGGCCATGCTTCTGGCACAGGCAGTCCTTGCAGTGTGTGTGCATGTGAGCAGATAAAACTTGGATAAAGTTATATGCTTCTAACAAAAAAACCCCCTGCATTTTGAGACCTTGCAATTACGCAGAAATGCTTGAAAGTGCAACCTCATTATATTTTAAGAGTTAGAAACCAGAATAAATAGAAAATGAGTTCAAAGTCTGGACATTTTGAAATGTTATGCTTTTTAGACAGGGTTCATATCATTTGAGTTGTTTTGAGCTAAATTGATAATTTCAAATTATTTTCATGAACATTGTAAAGTTTGATTTTTTTTTTTTTTTTTGGTAGGTTTATCCCTTAGAAGTGCATCTAAAGAATTAAAGCCAGTCATGAAGCTATGGTCAATTCTGTGTTGTGGCTATACAGGAAGAAAGTAAGCAAGAAGGAAATGTAGAGGATTACTGTGACAATAGTTATATTGCTTATACATGTGTATACTACAATAATAAGAGGAAAGCGATGGCAACCTTGCAGTTAAAATAAATATCCAGCATCCTATGAGATAGGTTTGTATTCTGTATTTACCGAGCTGAACAATGCCAGTAGGATCTGAAATATTCTGTACACTGTATATTCTGTCTGATTTATTTAAGTTCTGTTTTTTTGTCTTTTTCATTCAAAATTGTGGCCATGCCTGATGTTTACTGAAGGAACCCAAGCTCTAAACACCTGGAAGCTTAGACCATGAGTGTGTAAAGGACATTCATTAATTTTCTGTCAGTGCTTTATAATGGGCCATATAGCTTTTCCCACTATAATGGACATATACGTTCAACAGTTTTATTGTATGTTGGTGCACATTATTTGGCACAGCTGCTACAGAGACACTGCTGAACTGGTGTTTCTCTTCCATGACAAACACCTATTAAGCAGTCAGCATAAACTCTTCTTGTTACAGCATCTGACATCACCCTCAGGGCAAGCGGACACAGAACAGCGATTGCTGAATTGCATATGAAAATTATAGTTTTATTGTCTACACAACTGAAGGTTTAACTCTGATTCCTGCTCGAGTCAGTTCTGCCATAAAGAAGCAATTCTTTCACGGAACAAACAAGCACAGTACACCATTGTAATCAAAGGAACAGGCACTATTTATGTGTTGGAAAGACTTGTTCACAATAGTACTAACAATCCAATGCCCCAGAAGCCACTATTTTAGCAGCTGTACAGAAAAAAAGCATGACTAACAAGATGCCATACAGAGTCAGACAGGTTTTTGGTTATTTTTAAACACAAATGGAATCATCCCATTTGATACCACTCAGTTTAATATGCACGACTGGTAAGTAGGGATCATGTACTTAATGTTTATATAAGCAGTTTCTCCACCGTAGCGCTCAAAGGCTTCCAGTGTCTCTTGAATCAGATCTCCAATATTTTCACGCTTCTGCTGGCTGTAGTCTATCCCATCGCCTGAATTAACTGATCAATAAAAGAAAAAGGGGTGGGGGAAAAAAGATTATATTAAATTTGCTGTTACACTTTGAAATAATTACATAGACAATTTCATGTCAGTCACTATGCCTCTATTAGAAACTTTTTCTCTTTAAGGCTCTGCTCAGGCTCCCACTTTGTACGCCTTCAAAAGCTGTTTATGTATGTGTTACTTCAGTATCCAAGTGAAAATCCAAATAAACACTAAAAAAAACACATCATATTATAAGATATGGATGGACTCTGTTACACAGCGAACCTCTTAAAACTATTGCTACATTATTTCATAACATTGCTTATTTGGGACTGAATTCTACTGCCAGATGCGTAAATGCTTATCTACAGAATGTGACTTCAGCTATAATTGCTGTGCTTTGAAATCTTAAATAGGCACTGTTTTGGGACTGTTCCATGTGTACATCCTATTCACAGGCAATGCTGTTTCTGGTTGAGGGGATGTCATTTGGTCTAGAAAAGATGTTTGGAGTACAGGACAGTGCTCATTCAACTTCTGCTCCCTGAAAATTGTGTAAAACTAAGTCAATGTCAAGAAGACAAATCATTGCTGCCCCTACATGCTGCACCGTTTACTGTTTTTTTCCTCTAACATGGGGTAGCAAGGGTGGCACACATTTATAGGCACAGAGCGTAATTATTCAAAAAATGTGCAGTGTAAATAACTGTCAGAACACAAAATACGTAAGTAAGAAATGATGCTGAGATTTTAAAGAGGAAAATACATTCTATTTCATTTTAAAACAGTACTCTGAAAACTTCCTTAATATAGATACACTCTAAGACATAAAAACTAGTTTGTTAAGAGTAATATATACTGAGCATGAGCAGTGTGGTGGCCAGGCTGTCACACTGCTGGGGGCAGTCCACACACAGTCAGCCAGCGGTCTTGCTCCAGGTGGTGGTGGCAATGTGCCCATGACACTCATTTATCATTTCACATACCTCCACTTACTTATTGCAGTCTGAGCCAGCAAAGGATGTGTTAGTCAAGACAACACAACCAACTTTTTCTGTAATGACCGTCTTTCACATTAGAAATATGGTGAACACAAGTGTGAGGGAAGGTTTTGCTTCCAATGCTGGTTCCACATCACAAGTCCTATGGGGTGCAGATGCACCCCACTCTTACATCCCTTCCTTAACCCAAACCCAAGGATCTGAATGTTACGTTTGTGACTCTTTACCACCATGCTCATGAAGAAAAGCCAAAGAATGCTGAGATAAAAATCACCCTTTTGCTGAATTTTCATGTAAAATATTTTATTACATTCCAAATTAATAATGTATATATCAGTTTTTTGAACATTTACACAAAAACAGATGTGACATGCAAGGACTAAGCTTTGGATTAGAAAGGCATTAAATTATTGGTGAGGGTTACTCTTAAACACACAGACACATTCTTATAATTTAACAATATATTTCATGGATGTGAAAAGCCAGAGCTGTTGTATTACCATTTACTTTAATTAATTTTAGAAATAATAGATTCTGGGAGTGATAGAAAACAAGAAATATTAAAGAAAATGGGATTAACTTATACAAAATAAAAATAAAAAAAAAGAAAACCTCCCCCCCCCATTAGTAAAACAACAACAACAAAAACCATTAAAATGGAGTCTAGAATGGACATGGTTTGCTCTTGCAGAAAACACCTGAGATCAATTGTACCTCCTCCTTCACTTGTGTTGCATGTGCACTGCCAGCACTCCCTAAAACACCTGGAGCTGCTTCAGGTTTCACCAGACTGGGCAAAGGAACCCCTAAATCTCGACCTAAGTCTTGGCAAATATGCAAAGGAATTACTGACTTTCCAACCACTTGTCTATTATCTGTAATTTTAAGCCTACACACATGCTCTGTTAATGAGCTTACACAGCTTTCATCATTCTTTCAAAGATGTAGTAAAAAAAATCTGCTCTGGAAGTAATGGTGATACACTGCATATGGAGAACTAAGCAAGTTTGGAAGAGGACAGTAAGATTCAGGGATAGTTCTGGTAGCAAAAGCATTTTCCAGAATCCCATGTTATAGTCTTTTACATTAGAGCACTGTGTATGACAAATGATGTCTTAGGTCCTTGTTCAAAAGATGCCTAAGACAATGAGGCAATGGTAAAGGAAGTAATCTGCAATGGAAGACAAGGTGCGATGTGCAGACCTTCATTATCATTTTTTCCAGCAGACCATCTGTGCTGTGTGAAGGTTTGTATCCTCAAGACAGGCATAATTCACATCAAGGTCATGACACAAGTTACGACTAACAATACCAGAAAGGTTATGTCAGCACTGAGGTCACTTGGTAAGTAGTAAAATAGCTACCCGGTGCAGTTATAGGAATTAAAAAATCTTTCAGACAGAAAGATAACAATTAACCCAACAGGACAGCATCCACCAAGTGGATGAGTCAGAATGATCAGCTCAATGCACCTAAGGGTAAATATCTAGTCATAATAATGATGACTAGCTGGAAAAAAATAGCTACTGAAGTATAGCGGTCTCAGCATGCCCTTCTCTGATTTGACTTTAATTCCAAGTTAGTTTGCATGAGGAGCCAACTTTGTCAGCCACAAAAATGTTGCATATGTAAAGTGTGAACATGGATCTGATTCAAGTTCTTTATGAAGTTGTCCTTTGTGAGGGAGAATAAATCAACATGAAAATGCTAGAAAGAACATTTGTCAGATTGATCTCAAAGTAAAATGTCTGGCAAATTCATCATGCACCAAGAGCTCTTTTCAGAGCAAATGTTATTATTGCATTTAGAAGAAACTCACTGAAGCACTAGTAACAGATCTGGAGGATTAAAATCCGGAAAACATCTCATTTTCCCTTTCTGGATCAAAAACCCAGTTCCCAGTCTCCTAAATCATGCACAAAGGGCTTTGTGGTCCTTGAAAGCAAAGTGAAAAGCTTGGCACCTGTCAAGACCTGCGCAGGCTGACGGAACCAGCCAGCTCCGTGCCAGCTGCTGTAGCTGAGGAAACCCTGCTCAGACCCGCAGGGACCAAACTCAGCACTTGGCAGGGAGTGGAAAAGAATTTGAATTGTGCTTTAAAATGTGGTTTGCATTTGAGTCTAGACATGTTTCTATTCATGATTCAGGATATTGAAGAAAATCTAGTGTTATTTGTAGTCCATTTCATTTCATTTTGAATTTTTTCTATGGTAATACTACAAATATAAAATTGTATTGCATTAAAGAAGCAAGTTTCTCTCAAATCATTAAGTGCTTCACAGGGCAGTTTTTAAATCCTGGTGTGAGCAAGAAAGGTAAACCAACCCTTGAAGCTCGGGCAGATGTTGAAGTTCTTGCCTCTGGATATTTGTTAGCATCTGAAAGCGGCCTTGGTATTCTTTCAGATTATTAGACATCACATTAAGGCAGGTAAGATTTCAGATAGGGCTTTATTAAAAAAAATCTCTGGAATACGTCACAGCACCTCCTTCTAAGTCACAGATTGAATTGAATACCTCAGATAGGTATAGGGATAGGAATGTCATAGATTCTATTAGAATTTTCCTAGATGCTGGATGTCCAAGGAATGCTTAGTGTTAGAGGACAGAACAATACTGAAATTCAGAAATTTCTGAAGACAACATGAAGGAAGACCCACATCCACAGCTTAAACGATTTTTGTAATTCAATTGTGATTCGAAGACCATTTCTATGTTCTTTACTGATGAACTTACAAATACATACACACAAACATTGATTTCAAATTGTCTTGGAACAAGAGGATCTTAGCAGGAAGAATCCTCTCCTCTCCTCTCCTCTCCTCTCCTCTCCTCTCCTCTCTTCTTCCTTCCTTCCTTCCTTCATCATGCATTTTAATTTTTACTGTAGATAATTAAAGTACTACTTACGGTGAAATTTAACTATGGTAAAAACTACTTTTGAGCAGCTAACATAATTTATTCTAGTCAAACCAACAGGCCTTCTCATCAATTAAAACTATTACAATAATCCAACAAGCTAACCACTGACTGCATAGATTTTTGCTTCAAAAGAAAAAAAAAAAACAACAATGATGGCATTGTAGTGTGCAGATGTACTAGTATGGAATCATATTTATGCAGAAAAGCTTATCTCAGAGCAGTACACAGCTAAGCTGTACAAACTGGCATTAAAATATTTTGTGTCATATTTCAGGAGTTTATCCCTCCTAGAAGTTGGCAACAAAACCAAAACATCCATGAAAGCTGATGGACACGGTATACAGATTGTATGTATGTGTATTAGGATTCACTCCTCGTAACTTATTGCTTAGGAAGAGAACAGAGCTTAAGAAGTTTCTCTATGTCCCCTAAGGATTAGTTTAATTGTCTTAGAAGATGTTGGGCTCCTGACTGCAGTGGAAAGCGAAAGCCCCCAGTGAGTCAGTGCAGCAGGATACAGGAGTCCTCTGCACTGCTCCCACTGCTCTGACTCACAATACTGCTTTGAAATTGCCAGCTCCAGGAAGGATAACGTGGCTTGGTCTCTTTTTTCATTTAACTGTAAATCTGTGAAAGTCAGAGGGTAAGGCTCTACAACCTCCTGACCACTAAGAAATGGAGAGACACTGCTGGTTCGTTTCACTTAGGTAGAGGAAAAGCTGCAAGAAGATTATGACTCTGAGTCACTACCAACCCAGACATAACATTCTGTCTTCCACTCAAGGCTCAGAGCAACATGATCGCATGAAAACATGATCAGTTTTAAATGTTTCTTAGGATGTGTCTAGACCATGTGCATACAGAAGCATAAGCTGGCCTCACACAAGCTTGTTCCAAAGCTAGAACACTGGAAAGAAGAGCTCATAGAGTAATTTAGGTTGCAACGAACCTTCAGAGTCATCTGGTCCAGATGCCTTACTCAAAGCCAGCTCCATTTTCAAAGTTGGATCACATTGCTCAGGATCAAATACCCAAAACTGCTCAGTGCAGAGTAATCCCAGAACCAGAAATGGTGCAGGGATCTTCATGACA